AGAGCATCTCCTGAGGATTCATAAGCGTGGGACAGCAGACATTTTGGTGCACTGGAAAATATGGAGAGATAAATTCTGCCTCAGAGAGAGAGAATTAGGCTGTAAACTTACACACATTTACTTTAAAATAAACCCTGTTGAAGTCAGTGGGCTTCTTTTTGAGTAGAATGCTTAATATTGCATTGTTAATTAGGAAAAAAAAAGTATGAGAAAAGAGTAATACTTCTCCAACACCATAATCCATTCCATTATAGGGGGAAGTCAGAAATATAAATGGAATGGGAAATTGGCTTATTGGTCTGGAAAGTCTTGCTTATTTTGGCTCTTATATAAACATTTATGATTGATTTCCCAGCAAAGGGTTCCATTTAAGTGGCTTTTGGAAGGAAAAAAAAAACTATTAAAAAAACCCCCCTATAACTATACATACTACCATAGACTCATGCCTACAGACCGTTGCTTTGAAGAATGGTCAAGGAGTTCTCTCATTTGTAGCTTTCCCCATTGTACGATATCACAAATGTTTTCATGTCTGTCTGGAAATGAGACGACAGTTGACATGTAACTAATAGATGTCAATTAATTAAGAACAGGAAAAGCTGCAAGTTTTCAAAAGTTTTCAGGTTTCTGCATTCTGATGAAAAGTCTCAGTTCACTATGTGAAATTTCTATGAGCAAAAAGCTTAGGTTTAGTAAAGAACAATTGGCTTTATGTTTTGCATTTCCATCCAAGCAGCTCACCTTTCTGGATTTCTCAGAGAAATCAGCTACATATTAGGCAAATCTTCCTGCCTCAGGTTTTTCCATGGTATTGCAAGCTCTGTTGATTTGGTCACTGAAAGTGATCCTGCACGGAATACCAGTGTTTTCATTTTTGGTGGGTTTGGCTGAGATCCAGAGAGTTCCTTGTAGGATGAGACAATCTGCTCTTGGAAGTTTCCTAGGTTTCAAAATTCACTGGGCATTTAGCAAGGGAGAATGCAATCCTCTATCGGAGAAATACATGACACAAGCTATAACCATTTTAACTGTATTTAATTAAGTCATTTTAATTCAGTGTCAGTTAACTGCATGTTATTTCTTTGCCCTGGATCTGCTAATGTATAAATGCAGCATTAATAGTCATTGCAACCCTTGTATAAAAACAGCTAGGCACTCCTTCCTGGCCATTTTTTTTCTGTACAAAGCCTAGCTTCTTCCATGGGGCTCCAGTTATCTTCTGTTCAAACACTAAGACAGGTTCACTCCTACTGACAGCACCCAGAAGACAGGGAAATGGAGATACATGTCTTAGCAAGCTAGGCTGCTTCCTTGCTTGTCTTCATCTTTTCTCTGGGAATTCCATGGGTAAAATCAGGCTATCCACCTGATGTCCCCAATGTATTTGTCTTTTTCCTGTGGTATTTTCCCTCTTTTTTCAGATTGCCCTGCTCCTTATTCCTTGAACAGAACTGAGGTTTCCCTAAGACCATTTTCATACCCAATTTGTCATATACTGAAAGCTAATTGGTGTGGCCATTCCAAATGTTCCTAGGACATCCATGGGGGAAAAAGTCAAGATGGAGGTCATCACTGTGCTATTGAAGCTCCCTCCCCTCACTTTAACATGCAAGTGATATTTGCTAAAAAAAGGGGGGGGGCTTTGATGGTGCAGTAGCAAACAGCTCCTTGACTTTTGGCCCACCCTGCAGATGCCCTTGTGGTCATATAAGACAAACCATCTCACCTAAGCCAACTTTGAAGGCTACATGCACCACTTTTTTTCCACTTAATTATTTGCAACTGGCATTAATGAAACCGAAGACTAGTGTTAACTGGACACCTCTTAATATTAAATATGAGGCAGTATTGAACTACAGGGAGAATAAAACTTTTCAATACCATGTGCTCTTTCTAATGTATGAATGTGGAAAACAGATCTGTGGTCTCAATTTAAAACAATATGTAAGAGTACTTTTAATTTTTTATGCCCTCAAGTTAGTCTTGACATCTGGGGACTATACTAACAAGTTTTTGCAGATTTCTTAGCAATATTTTTCAGAAGTGTTTTGGCCTTGCTTTCTTCTTCCTCAAGCTGAGAGACAATGACTGGCCCAAAGATATTCAGCTGGCTTTGTGCCTCAGGCAGAACTAGAACTCACGGTCTCACCATTTCTAGCCTGACGTCTTAACCACTTCACCAAACTGACTCTCTTATCTACTATACCAAACTAGTTCTTATGTAAGACAATATATAACACTAGAAACTACCTCACACCTTGTACACAGGCCACAGATGCTGAACAGCAGATGCCTAGCAACACAAGATCTCTGGCCATTCCTTTAATGCTGTTTTCAACAAATCCCCTGTTACTGAGGGAAATTTCTCTCCCAAAGCAAACTTCGAGTGTTGGAAAAGAAAATAGATCTAATGGAAATCAAAATGAACAGACGGTACCAGAGAAAATGCACACCTCCTATCAGAACAGCACAGCTTTCATGAAAAGGTTGAATACCGATGCCACATTTGTAAATCAGCAGGATCACTTTTTAAGAGTGCTCTGACTGTGCTCAGTGAAAATAAACATTTGCCTTTCCTGGGCCAAGCCCAATGGAAAAAAACCTATAAAAACAAAGACTGCAAAGCCAGAAATGTGCCTGTGTTTTTCCTTGAAGGATTATTAGGTTGCCCTTCAGCGATGACAACAGGACACATCAATTTGCAATCACAGAATAAATGTACAGCCTGGTGACAAAAGCTAGCTGTGAATGCCACCATTCAGCTGATACCTATGATCAAAATATTGGCACCAGGAAGTATGGGACAATTCTCTGTTAAGTCCTGAGACCCAAGGACACGCCAGGTCTGAGCAAGATACATCCCTCATTTCTTTCTGTCCCTTTGCCTGATCTCTTGTCTTCTTCATGGACTTTCTCTCTTCCACCATCACTCCCTTATTGGATAGCAAAAACTGGTTTCTTTCTCTTTTCTTTCTCCTTATTTATCTAGGAAGCATCTAGGCATCTCCACATCCTAAAAGGAAAGAATTTAAAAATATTGGGGCCAGTAAATTGTAAGTGTTGGGGAGAAAACAAAAACAATCCAGGAAGAAGGATGATGAGAGACAGAAGTTATCTTTCATATGTGTGTGTGTGTGTGTGTGTGTGTGTGTGTGTGTAGAGAGGGGGGGGAGAGAGAGAGAATACTGTACTTTTTGGGAGGGAGGTGTCACTGGGCCCTGGACTTGCATCTAACTTAGCAATATGTCTGTCAGGATGTCCCAGTTTATAGATCGGCTTTTTTTCCTTCTGCCTGAAAGGAAATACAATGGGAGAATGGGCAGGCCCTTGATGAACGCCCATTTGATGCTAAACTGTGACACATGCACACATAACTACAAACAATATCATTCAAGCACGGTTTTGTAGACTATGACTTCAGTTTAACTTCCAGAGAATAATTGGGTTGTCCAAATTGTAGCTATTGTTTCTATTATACAAAGTGGTTATTACTCTACAATTCTCCATTATGTCCTCTACCTGAGTTTCTGTGTCAGTCATTATTGCTTTCTCACACTGTTTTCTTGATTCATTGAGTGAGTTTTCTTCTGCCCTGGCCTCTGGTTAGAGCTCAGCAAGGAGCTTTCCAAATTACCTTAAGCCATACTTGATGGTTTGGATGGAAGAAGAAAGAGTTCTGTTCAGAGATTGAACTCGTAATCCTTTAGAGCACCTGCCCCATTTCCTGTCTGTCAGAAGTCTGGACTTTTTTGTTTTGTCTGAGGAAATGCGTAAAGGGAATGGTTAAAGTGATAATGCTTTAAACTTTAATGTTTAAAATGGTCTGTTGCCATGCACTAAGGATCATGCTTCATGATGCTTCCATGAGCTTTGGTTGGAATCTCTGTCTTTCTCCACAGTCATGGAACCAGATGTGCTGGAGAAGTGTCTGCTGCAGCAAACAACAATATCTGTGGAGTTGGAGTGGCCTATAACTCAAAAGTGGCAGGTAAGGCTTAAACCAGAGAACCAATCTAGATTTCCTTCCCTGGCAATATTGCTATTTTCTTAAAAAGGAAAGAAGGGTGTGTGAGAGGCAGATTATTTGCAGTATGAATTTTCCAACATGCTATATTTTAAAAAAATGAATGTACCTACATTTGTGTTTTGGTGTATATAGTTCTCCCTCTTTCTTCTCCCTTCCTTTTTGAGATTTCTTTGATACCTTGTTGATGAACACTGCTGAACTATATATTTGAAACCATAAAATACTCTTAACATATAGTTCTTGGCAGGAAGCTCATCTGATAAAGGGTCTGACTACAGGCCTCCAAGATGGAGACAAATTGATTTAGACTCCTCCTGTTGCAGGACTGTTATTGATTACTGTTGCCAGCATTGATCCTTAGCTATTATTTTTTGTTAATGTTTTATCATTTTATAATTGTGTTGGTATTTCTACTTTCATAAGCCTATTATTGATGTATACAAGAACTGTAAACTCTTCAGAGTTTATACTCAGCCGGAACAGCATGTAAGCCAGAGAAGAAAGGAAGGAAGGAACAGTTATGCTTGCTCCCTCAGAGTGGTAGAATGAGCATTATTAGATTTGTTAGTGTCTTTTAGGGAATTAATTTTTGGTAAAGATACCCACTATGTAATGCAGTAGATTATAGCTGAGGTCTAGCACCATCAAGTGGTCACTGAGATATTGGGGAAAAAGTCAGTAACTCTGATCCAGGAAGGTTGCAAATTATTCTCCACCTTTCAAGTCTGAATTGAGGTGCAGTGGAAATGGTGTCAGTAATGTCTTGGAGAAAAACGGAATGGGTCATTTCAGATTTTTTTTTTTTTTTACAGTGAACAAGCAATTTCAGAAAACAAGCAGATTAAAGAGAGGAATTCAAGAAATTCTTCTCTATGATGAGTTTGTTCACTACATTCAGGAATATTTTAAAAACTGTAGCTGAGGAATTGTAATATTATAGTTTATCCCAGATTATAGTTTTACTGTCTAGAATTTTCTCACTGTAGCCTATTATTTCCTACAGAGATCAGTCTGAAGAGACAAGAATCAGAACAGTAACCTTGGCTATTGTTCAAACGGATATTGAGATGAAAGAGTTGACCTGTATTTCATGTAATATATGTGATCTAGCAATTTAAATAAAAGCCTTTCCTTCCAACTTTTCACCTTTCTATCTACTGCCATATACATTTTGAATTTAGATACATGAAATCAAAACCTGATTGGGTGAATTAAATAGTCTAAAACATTGAACTTGCAAAAATTAGTCTTGCATTCAAAAACAGTTCACACATTTCATGGATGAATCACTACTTTTGCATTTGTGTGATCCTGGATGTTAATTATGTTTTGTGGCAGAAAAAAAATCAGATCATGGTTTGAACTTTTAAACCAGATTTTCTCAAATAGATACCAGCAAGATATGCTGGGCTTCAAATTCTGGGTGTGGAAATCCCCAGTTGGGGAATACTATTATAAATTTCTTATTTTGATTTCAGATTAAAAAAAAAAAAAACATTTCTCTCCCCCCCCCCCCCGCCCCCACTTCATCAATATATATTGATGAAATCTGCAGGTATCCGAATGTTGGACCAGCCATTTATGACTGACATTATAGAGGCTTCTTCTATCAGCCATATGCCTCAAGTAATTGATATTTACAGTGCTAGTTGGGGTCCCACTGATAATGGCAAAACTGTGGATGGGCCAAGAGAACTGACCTTACAAGCCATGGCAGATGGAGTGAATAAGGTAGTGCTTTGGTTTTATGTTTTCCATCCATTATGTTGCTGTAATATCAGACTCTCATGAACGTTACTTTTGCTGTAGAAGATAACAAACTGCCTGTAAACATTTCCATATCAGAAGACCTCACTTTTGAGGTATAGATGCAAGTATAATTAATTATTAATAGGAAAGACTGTTCTTTCAGCCCAATGATAATAGGACACACAAGAGTTAAATGGTGACTGATACAATGAGAATAGGCTAGAGATTTTGCTATCTGGATACTTTAAGTACCAGGAACCAGGAAGTCCTTAAAAGGCTAGAGAGTTTGTTTCCCCAGGTATATCTTTAATTGAGGGGGTCTGCAGCAAGCTGAGATTTCATCAAAATGATGAAACATGCCTCACTGTCACATCATGATGCTAGCTCCAATATCACAATGCAATCACAAAAGTGGCAAAGTTTATGTCACAACTTTGCAGTGTACATTTCATCACCTGCTCCTTCCCTTCCTGTGGGCATCCATATATATAATGCATGAGGAAGAAAGGAAGACTATATTCACTGGCCAAGATTCTTGGCCAAATATTTAATTGAAGGGAAAAACACAAGGTTGTTGGCCCAGGTTTTCCAATTACATGAGAGAAGCTTTTACATAAGTGGACCTTTGATATTAGTGTAGTTCTACAGATGCACTGTGTGAAAAAGGAAAACACTTCATTATATAACACATGGTTAAGCTAGGCAATTTCTTCCCATCTTATTTATTTTCAAACATTTGAACCTAGCTTTTTCCTCTTGAAAAACAGTCTTAAATATATGGTGAAGATGTTCATGAGAACTTCAGGAAGGATCAGGCTCAGGGCTGGTTTAAGGAATTTGGAAGCCCCATGTAACTCCAGTTTTGGTGCCCCCACCCACCCTAGTTAACTTTGTAGATGGATTCCTATATATTCAGAATAAAATACTTATAGAAACTGAATTGAACATTAATGATATATCTAGAAAAAATGTTTTAGATACAAATGGCATCACATTCTAAAACTGTGCTTCAATAAATGAGTCCATTGGCCTGATATACCTGTTAACCAACACAGTGTTACCTTCTGGGTGGATCTGCCTACCCCCAAATCCCATCAACCCAATTTACCCAGTGGCTACCCCTTAGCTCCATCCCTCTTAACACTCCACAAGTCCCTCAAGACCTGGCTATGTGATCAGGCCTGGGGCTCTCAGGGGACTGGGGAGGTTTTACGATGGCTCCCTTATTAATTTTATCCCCTCCTATTTTGTGTGCTTTTACAGTTTTTTATGTGTAATTGTTTTTATGTATTTATTCTTTTTAATTGTCGTTCGCTGCCCAGAGTCCCCTTGTGTGAGATGGGTGGCTATATAAATATGATAGATGGATGGATGGATGAAGCTGCATTTCCTCATGAGTAGACCAGAACACCTGAAACCCCATTAACCCCATCTACCCACTGGCTAACATAGAGCTGTCTTGGCTGCTAGGTGGACCTGTCCATTCAAAACCCTTGTTGGCTCAATGGATCTATTGATTAATACAGAGCAGGGTCAGCTTCTGAGTGGTCCTGCTACTCCAAGCAACCTGAGGGAAACACAAGGCTCTCTCTTAAGGGAAGACTTATGAAGGGAGATAGTCACAGCCTCTTTGCTTTTATGTCCTCAAGTGCCCATAGCCTGTTTCAGCCTGCCATGCTGTCTACGCAGCTGTATATACTACAGTCCCATTAAACCAGCCCCGACTAGACTATCAAGTAGCTACAATCCTGCCTCTTTAATCTTTTACTTTAAAGAGCAGCTGCTGAGAAGGCACTGTAGAAGAGGTTATTGCTGTTTGGTCCAAGACTGAGAGCTTCTTGAAACTGTTTGTCTACTCTGTCATACAGAAGATTGGATGGGATAAGAACATGGCCTACTCTAACAGGACTCTTTTTATGCCCTTGTTTTATGGTAGCTGCTAGGAGATTTCTGACCAAACTTGGCTAAAAATGATCAAGCTGAGATGAATCAGTACAACATTTAATATACAGCATTTTATTTTTAGTAGAATGAAAGGAACTTGCATCTCAGGTTAGCAGATTATCATGGCATTTACCATTTATCAGACAGACCTGCAATTTTTCTTAAATGACCAGAATTTTTATATTAATTTTTATTTAGGTTATAAAAGATTGGAAAGGAAAGGGAACGCTATAGTTTGACTACTCTGATAGCCACGTAATGTTAATTATTGCATTAATGAACAGAAAATTAGCATAGGAGTAGTAATTGAAGAGAACAACTCAAACTGGTACAAGAAAATGTGCTGCACTTAGCATAATGTATTCAATTGAAAGGAAATCAATGCTAATTTGTAGTTTAAATGCTGGCAACCCTATGGCATCTCATTTAGTATTTTGTTTAATTCATAATAAAAAGTGACTATCTTCCTTAAGAGCAAATTAGCATAAGTCTGTACATAATCTGGATCTCATTCTAATAGGGTGCAAACCTAATCTATTTCTCAGCAAAAACCTTGCAATTGTTACCATCCCAAGCTCTAATACCATATGGAATTCAGTTACCAGAGAAATTGACCAAATTTTAGCCAAAGTTCTGAAAAATTAGGGCTCTAAGGATTTCTTCCAGTGAATGTCCAAGCATGTGTTTGCCACTGCAACTCATCTGATATTAATTCTAGATATTCTTTCCTGATTGTGTTTTCTAAATTAGCATCAAGTGCTTTTAATTAACTAGCTCTCCTGTCAGAATTCTCCACCAGAATAGTCTAGAGCAGTGTTGTCCAAACTTGGCCACTTTAAGATGCTGGCTGGGGAGTTCTGGGAGTTGAAGTCCACTCATCTTAAAGTGGCCAAGTTTGGACAACACTGCCTAAAGGTTCCTCTGCTTGTCACAAAGGTACATATGGACTATACAGCATCTGGGAGAATGCTTTTCCTTGTCTTGTTTGCTGTTTCATGCACTGCACAGAAAAGATACTTATTTTCTTCTGAAATACAGCACAACTTGCTTTTTAAATGAGTTTCCAGGGAGAGGCTAATCAGGGAGAGAAGCAGGCTAAATCAGAAACACTTGCTTTCAAATGGCCTTCTCCCACCTAACTCTTGTTTTAAAAATGCAGAACAATCTGAGAGCTCTAAAATTGTATATGGCTAAGAATGTAGTAAAATGGAAATGCACAAAGAATGTATTGCTGTTTCTGAAATAGTCTTATTTTTATTAGCCATGGTCTGAAAACTTCTCTGTACACCAAATTACAAGCCATCACACGTCAATCCTCCACAGTAGTTTTTCTTCAGAGGAGGAACCCCTTCCTCATTAAGAACCTTTCCTAAATCTGCTCTCTTCCCAGGTCTAAAGTAGCCCATCCATTCTAGGCTGCTTCCTCCAATCCATGAAGTCCTTCTCTTTCTCCAGGCCCTCTCCAGAAGTGGTTGCTTCTCCTGCCACTGGATGTGTGAGGACATTCCCTGCCAATAGAGCTCTGGCTCTGCCCCCCAACTCCTCTGGATCTGGAAGAGACAAATGGCCCAGTTCAACACAATCCAGGCTCTATAGTTGCTCCAGTTGGAGTGCTTGCAAGGAGAACTTTGCTAGGCAAAAGCCACCTCATTGTAGTGTAGCTGGATGATGACATGGGAAACACAAGGAGAGTAGGGGGAAAGATCCAGTTTTTGGGCCCTTCCCATTTCCCACCACTGATATGGATACAGTGACTGGGTTGATAGTTACTTTGGCTTTGGCTTGGTGTGATGTGTAAACCCAATCAAGTTTGGCTTGTTTAACAAACTATGGTAAAAGCTAACAATGGTTTGGTGTGATGCATTCCGAGCTTATATCTGGGACTAGATATGTTTTAAAATAGCAATGTCCTGAGTTAGTATATCTAGCTGAAACAGAATGCCTAAGCAGATAGTCTAAGTATGTATTGAATTATATGTATGTGTTGGAGGAGGAGGGATCACCCCATATCCATCAGGTTAAGCTCAGTTCTAAAGCTATTAATACTGCAAGATGAGGCCAGCCAGAGAGATGGGGCTGTTAACAATCAGTACTGTCTTGCCATCTCCAGCTCACCAATACTTTAGACCAGGGGTGCATGTCATCTCTGATTATGGGAACTACAGACAGTTTCTTCTTTTTCTTTCTTTGTTAAGATACAGGTAGATCCAACATCACAATAAAAGTATCTTAATAGTGTAAGAGAGGTTATTTCCTGGAGGCAACTCATACATATGCTGGAGAAGGGTTAATGTAATAGCAAAAAATCTAGCAGTGCTTTTAGTAGTTACTGTATATGATCCCGATTCAAGAGCAAAGGAATTGTATGCCTCTCCATCACAAACCCTTACCCTTTGCCTTGAGTTGAAATATATGAGTCCTCTGGATTTCTCCATACATGGAGCAGGGCAAGGATGCATGGCTAGCATTCTTAATTGTTTCTGACCCAGTGGCCTCCATAACAACTCATGATGATGACAACATGTGCATGTTGACATAATTATGCATTGTCATTGCCCTCTCCCCAAATGCCCATGGCAAGGTTCTTTTGGACTGGGACTTTTGGGAACTTGCTCTAAAAGAGCAGAAGACAAAACGTTGCCTATATTTATGCAGCACCAGAAGCAAGACAACTATATACTTTCTTTGGTTTCTCTTCCTCTTGCTTCATTCTATTTTCAGACCTTGAATTATGCAGGGAAGCATCCAAGGTTTTTCTTTTCTTTGGAAAACACTCAATGGTTGCTGCCAAAAAAAACAGATAATTAGCACCCCCTGCTAAGATGTTCCAGTTGAAGGCTTCAGCAGTATGAAAATGGCAAGAAAGGAAAATATTATAGATTGGAAACATGACCTTCAAAATGTACTCTGTCTTGCAGCAATGCAATTTCATGTTCATTATTATCAGACCCCCTTCATCTGGTTTGCTTTAGCATGGTTTAAAAGAAAATAAAAATGGTTACTGGAGATCTGGAATAATGACAATTTGAATCATTTTA